CTGGGCGACAGAGTGAGACTCCAACTCAAAAAAAAAAAAAAAAAGAAAAAAGACACAAGAACTAATCCAGGGCTGAGCCAGTTTTATTCCTGCTTAACAATCTGAATGAAAAGACAATTGTGGTCACCAACCCTGGTAACTGGATTGCAACATTCCATGGTACCAGGGTTAGAGTCACGAACAAACCAAAGCTGAGCCATAGCATACTAGTGGGATCCAGCTTTCTTGGTGGTGTCCTTGTCCTGGCTCTGTCACCAAGGAGATGGATGTTCTGGGAAGTCGTTAGTTCTTCTTAGACCTCAGTCCCCTCATCAGTAAGAGGACATTGGACTAGATAATCTTTAAGGCTTCTTCTAGCTCTGACAATCTATGATACAGTAATTTCACACTGACTAACATGCCCCTTGATTTCTTCTCCCTTTCTCATCTCAGCTTTTCTGGGTTCTGCTTTACAATTGTTTTGAGATCCCCCTGACCACTCTTGGCACAACAATGGCCATGTTCTTTTGCGAAGTGCTCACAGAAAGAGATGCACATAGTTTGGTCCTCTGCTTATTGTTTTACCATTAATATCTGTGAGAGTTGGGGAAATTACTTGATCTTCATTTCTTTACCTATATGATGGGTATAATATCTACTGCAAAGCGGTATTTAGGGGGATAAATTGAAGCTAAAGCAACAGCAGAATGGCTGTTAGTTTCCTTTCTTCCCTTCTCAGAAAGGCAAAATGAATTCCTTTCTGTTGTTTCTTCAACAGCCAAGCCCAACAACTCTGTGGAAGCGCCCTCAAGGCCTACCCCTAAGACAAGTCTGTCTTCAAGCAAATGTGACCCTAAGCACAAGGATTGTCTGCTGCGGGAGTTTCGGAAGTTATGTGCCATGGTGGCTGATAATCCTAGCTATAATACGAAGACCCAGATCATCCAGGACTTTCTGCGGAAAGGCTCAGCAGGAGGTGTGGCCATGAGCACCCTGAGTAGGCTTTTTCTCCAAAGAGCTAGAACCATGCCTGGCTTTGTGGGCGTGTGGACTGTGGAGTTGCACAGGGTCCCCTGCTTGCTTTAATACTTGACCATTACTGTCTTGACATTCTCAGTCATTTTGAACAAGAGGCCTTGCATTTACATTTTGCACTAGACCCCACAAATTATGTTGTCAATTCTGCTCAGAGCACTTTGACATCTTTCTTCTTCTGCCCTTATTCTCTGCCCCCAGGAGGCCAGAAAAACCAATCCTATTTGATTAGTAAGAAAATTCACTATCTTGCATATTTGATTGGGGTTTCGTGAGGCACATGCACAGCTTGGAATAGAATCTTCCAGCTCTGTTTCTTTCATTTATCTAATAAATTGTCACTGAACATCTGTAATATGCTTGTCACTGGGCACATGAAGTGAAAGTTATCACCCTGCCCAGTGGGAGATCATCCATGGTCTAAAGGTGAGACAGACAAATAAACCACCAGCCTCTGAACTCCATGGCCTCTAGTTGTACACAGGGTACCGTGAGAGTATAGGCAGTGATATATAGATCTCATTCCATCTCTGCTTCTTTGAGTTTATGTATTTATTTGTCTAAGATTAATTTCTCAAGAAGGATTCCTTTCTTCTGTCTCCAGATGGTTTCCACGGTGATGTGTACCTAACAGTGAAGCTGCTGCTGCCAGGTGTCATTAAGAGTGTTTACAACTTGAATGATAAGCAGATTGTGAAGCTTTTCAGTCGCATTTTTAACTGCAACCCAGATGATATGGCACGGGACCTAGAGCAGGTCAGAGGAAGGGGTGGGTAGGCTGCATTCCAGGTAGGGCTTTGCCAAGCCAGACACCTGCAGCCTCTTTTTTCTGGTTGGGGCACATGTTGTTTTAGGAAATTGAAGCCATTTGAGCACTCTTCCGTTATGGGGAGAGCTGAATGTGAGGCTACAGCTGTTAATTTCATAAGTTTCCTAGGACTGAAACCACACCACTGCTAAACTACAAAAAATCAGGATTTGAGACTTCCCTCTGTCTCCTGGAGCTTGTTTTGGATTCTCCTTTTTCTTGCTTTTTTCCCCTCCTCTAACTTGACTTCCCAGAACATCCATCTCCTTGGTGACAGAGCCAGGACAAGGACACCACCAAGAAAGCTGGATCCCACTAGTATGCTATGGCTCAGCTTTGGTTTGTTCGTGACTCTAACCCTGGTACCATGGAATGTTGCAATCCAGTTACCAGGGTTGGTGACCACAATTGTCTTTTCATTCAGATTGTTAAGCAGGAATAAAACTGGCTCAGCCCTGGATTAGTTCTTGTGTCTTTTTTCTTTTTTTTTTTTTTTTTGAGTTGGAGTCTCACTCTGTCGCCCAGACTGGAGTGCAGTGGTGGCTCCTGGCCACCGCAGCCTCAACTTGCTGGGCCCCGGCGATCCTTCTGCACCAGCCTTCTGAGTAGCCGGAATTACAGGCGTGCACTACCACGCCCAGCTGAATTTTTGGATTTATTGTAGAGATGAGGTCTTGCCAAGTTGCCCAGGCAGGTCTCGCACCCGCCGGCTCAGGCAATCCATCACCTCAGCCTCCCAAAGCGCGGGATTACAGGCAGAGCCACCGAGCCCGGCGTCTTTTCTTAGCTAAAGCGGGTAGATAGACATGCCTCTTCTAAGAAAAGTGGATGAGATAGAGTTTCTAAGAAGTGAGGTAGATATGTTGTTGGAATAGGAGCTAGGATTGAAATCTCTTAATTCATCTTTAGTGCTAGGTCTTGGGGGTTCACTTGGCCACCCTGGGGTTACAGCAGTGACATTTTGGTTTTTGGAGACAGGGTGACGTGTCAGAGACAATCAGAGTCTTCTTTGAGCAGAGCAAGTCTTTCCCCCCAGCTGCTAAGAGCCTCCTTACCATCCAGGAAGTGGATGAATTCCTCCTGCAACTCTCCAGACTTACCAAGGAGGATGAGCAGCAACAGGCCCTGCAGGACATCGCCTCCAGGTGGGGGAGCTGCTTCAGTCAAACTGTGCTCCATGGGAATGGTCTTAGGGAGATGGAATCTTTGGTCTTAGGGAGATGGAATCTTTTGGGAAGGTTTAGGGATCTAGAGCTCTTCAAAGACCAAGTCGAATGTGCCTTATCCCCCTAGGTGTACAGCCAATGACCTTAAGTGCATCATCAGGTTGATCAAACATGATTTGAAGATGAACTCAGGTGCAAAACACGTGTAAGTACCAGCACCTCTGACAGCCTAAGCTGCCAGTTTCATTTGTTCCCAGCTGGTGTTAGAATTTTGGAGTCCCAATCTGGATTTAAGTTTTCATTCTTACTTCCCTGATCCGTCACTTGACCTGTCTCTGCTTCCATTTTCTCCTATATAAAATGAAGATAACAATGCCTTTCTCAGAGGGTTGTTATAATTGAAAGTATGGAATACGTTAGCCAGGTATGGTGGTATGCACCTGTTGTCCCAGCTACTCAGGAGCCTGAGGTGGGAGGATCACTTGAGCTAGAAATTTGAGGCTACAGTGAGCTGTGATCACACCACTGCATTCCAGTCTGGACAACCGAGTGAGACCCTGTTTCTTAAAATAGAAAGTATGGAATATGTTCCATAAGCATAGTATGAATCTCTTGCCCAGTCTAGCCTCCTAAGGCAGCATCTAAGTAAGCACTGTATCAAAAATTTTCCAAAGGATGTTTTTCCTCCTGTGAAAATCATTAGACAGTAAAACAGCCCTTTCCTTACAGAGTCAGGTTTCTCCTGTGAGGACAGACTACCATCCAAAGCCTTAGGTCAAAAGCAGTGGTGATGTTTCCTGCTCCTGTCCCCTTTGGCAGGTTAGACGCCCTTGACCCCAATGCCTATGAAGCCTTCAAAGCCTCACGCAACCTGCAGGATGTGGTGGAGCGTGTCCTTCGCAATGAGCAGGAGGTAGAGAAGGAGCCAGGCCGGAGACGGGCTCTGAGCGTCCAGGCCTCACTGATGACGCCTGTGCAACCCATGCTGGTGAGGAGCACTGCTCTGCCCCACCCCACCCCCACTTCCTCCACGATTCCCCTCTCTCAGGGTGAGACCCGATAGGGTCTGAAGGTTGAGAGTTCTGGCAAGCTGACTGGAGGAGTTTGGGGAAGGAAGGGCAGAGGCTCAAGGGATATTTCTCAATGGGAAGTGAATGCAAAGGCTCTAGTGGAGAGACTTGAACTCTAGTCTCAGCTTTACCACTAACAAGCTGTAGAATCTCAGATGAGGTGTTTGGCCTAATGGCCTTTAGTTTCCTTATGTGGATGATCTCTGAGACTCCCTGAGGCATCTGCCTGGAGTGGTTTATCTATCATCCTACCGAAAGACGGTGGATATTTTAAGTAACCCCTGAGATTCTGTGACCCGCCACTAAGTATCTCTGGGAGCTGGTGGCAGAGCCAGGCTTCCTATGACAGGGTGACTTGGAAAGGGGGAGGAAGCATAAGGAATGAAGGCTAACTCCGAAAGAAATTGTCTTGGGCCTCTGCTCACTTCATGAGAAACGGGTTTCCTTTCCAGATTCAGTTTTCCTGTGTGACAAGACACACTACATGCCTCCTGAGTGATTCTTTGGATTTTTCCAGTGGTGTACAGTGCTTCTTATGAAACTGTCTTTATGTGTCATACTAAGGTGTTGGTTTAGGGTTCTGTGTTTGGAATAGGGAAGTATTCTCTCCCTGCTAGGAATGTGGGATAGCCAGCACCAAAATAATGAAATTTTTACCTCAGAGATGGGGCACCTGCGATAGTGGCCTTTCTGACTTTTCTGAAAATTCCTCCTGGAGCCAGTTCTGCAGCCTGCCATTTGAAGACTAGCAGGGATTACATAGCTTGATGGTTAACCACCACAGGTTTTAGAGTTGGGCCTAGATTCAAACTTATTCCTGCTAATTACTAACTGTATAGCAGCTATGTACCGACACAGCTGATATTTTTAATAATAAGTTGGAGGCCTTGCAAGAGTCAGAATTATTGAGAAAAAAAATTAAATCCTAAAAATAAATTAGAAATTGAATTCTGTATTCATTGCTCTACAATGAATAGCATTCATATTCCTTGAAATACAAGCTCCTGTGTCAACTCTGGTGATTATTTATTTTATAGGTAGACTACAACATTGCCCTGCCCCTTCCATTCCCATTACCTCTTCAACAGCCTGCCCTGAGCACACACTGTAGGCAATTGGTCCCCAGGACCCAGGTCCTATCCTGAATAACCCAATTTCAGGCTCTTTGGCTGTCCCTACTAAGCAGCCCTTCATTGAAAGTCTCCAGGCTTTGCTTTCCCCACCCCAAGGCTGAAGCCTGCAAGTCCATCGAGTACGCAATGAAGAAGTGTCCTAATGGCATGTTCTCTGAGATCAAGTATGATGGTGAGCGAGTCCAGGTGCATAAGAATGGGGACCACTTCAACTACTTCAGTCGCAGCCTCAAGCCTGTCCTGCCTCACAAGGTATATGTTCCTTCTTTCCTACTAGTTCTGTCTTTCCTCTAAGTATCTCAGGGCCAGAGTGCCGTAGCCATTTCAGCTCTGGTACACAATAAGGGATTTCTTTCTATTTGTTGAAAGAATGAATTCATTTATTAAGTTTTGGAGTCTTCCAATAATGAAGGGCTGCTCAGCAGGGATAGCCAGAGTTCAGACATAGTCAGGACGGAGCTCCCTGGGACAGTGCTACTCTCACCCACAGTGATACTGAGCATTCAGCTCAGTTGGTGAGTTGCCGTGGGGGTCTTTGTGTTTCCATGTCCTGAGTGCTCCCCTTGAGCTCATGCTGTTGGGCTGTCATTCACTAACTTGTTCAACAAATATTTATCAAATGCCTATGTAGCTGATAGGCATACAACAGTGAAAAAAATGGACAAAGGTTCTGACCCTCATGAAGCTTATACTCTGATGTAACATAATCCTGTGGGGACATCTGGGAGCCTAGATTCCTGCCCCAATCAGAGGGCATTGAGAACTGCATTTCTCAGCTCCCAAGAGACTGTGAGCCTTTAGGGGTATCTTCGGGGAAAAGCAGCTAGAACATCTGGCTCCAGTAGCTGTGAATAGATGGAGAATTTCTGTCCTTGCTATCCTTTTCCTTCCCAGCTCAGACTCTGTTTTTCAGAGTCCCAGGGGCTGGGCAGGTGTTGTGTGGTCCATGTGCTTACCTCAGCCTTGCCTTCCTATTGGAGTGCTGGGGACAAAGCAGGCAGACTGCTGTTTCAGGTGTCAAGGGGAGGGCTATGCAGTGGCCTCCATGTGAAGCGGGTTCACTTGCTCTGTGGAGCACTGGAAAATTGCTTGAGGCTCTGCTTCTGGCGAGGTTGCTGTTAAATGGGCACCTCCTGTGACTCCAAAGAAGTTTGAGCACAGCTTTCCAGATTGAGCTCTTTGCCCACTTTCCCTTTCCCAGTATTCATTCATCCCTTGCCTCTCCTGTGTTTTTGGTTCTTAAGGCCATATTGGAGCTTGGCGAGAGATGGGATGAATGTGCCGGCCTGTTTTGTTCCTGCTCTAATCATACTGGGTAGTGACGGACTGTGTGCCCTGCCCAGGTAGATTAAGCCACAGTAATGCTCTCTTGTCCCCATCGCTGGCATCACTTGGCAGGGAGTACCCAGGGTTACAGTGGGACTTCTCCCTATCTGAAGCTGTCAAAGATGAGGGCTTTGCCTTTATCAAGAAAAATCCAATACCAGACATTTTCTCTTACTCTGAAAATGGCAGCGGGTTCGGGGCTCCCACTCAGAGAAGACCTTGCTCAGCTTTCCTTGCTAATCTTGAGGGGCTTCATTTCTCCTTCCGTTGTCTTTTTGAGCAGGCCGTTCTTCCTTCAGTCCAGCCCCTAGCCAAATATTCACCCATCTTCTGCAACAAGCACTAAGCTCTTCCTACCCACCTTTCCTCCCTCCCTCCCACTTTTGTCTACCTCCACCTCCTCCCCCACGTTTACTCTTAGTTTCTTCCTTTTTCCTCCAAACACTCTGCCTTCTCTACAGTTCATGGAAAGTGATTCCGCCTGGGCTGACCTCTTCTGGGGTCTAGACAGAAGTTCTGAAACAGTCCTATTCCTCTTGTCCAGATGGTTGACCAGGCTTAGCTGTTTTGCACATGAGCTAGCTTCTACATGTTGCTCTGTGGTCCTTCTGGGGCTTAGGCTTTGCTTTCCATGGCTTGGCTTTGGAAATGGGGCTGTGCTGCCCATTCATCCCTCACCAAAGCCACCCTTCTGTTTCCAGGTGGCCCATTTTAAGGACTACATCCCCCAGGCTTTTCCCGGGGGCCATAGCATGATCTTGGACTCTGAGGTGCTCCTGATTGACAACAAGACAGGCAAACCACTGCCCTTTGGGACTCTGGGAGTACACAAGGTACCGGCTCAGGGCCACATGTACAATAATGAGCGAGTGTGAGTATGTGTGTGTGTGTGCGTGTAAATGCTGCAGTCTGAAAAAGAAGGAATATATCACTTAGGGTGGGGCTTATTCTTTGCTTCTGAACTGTTTCTGAATTTGCCTTGAATTAGATATGCTTTTTCCCATTAAAAAAAAGAGTTAGTATTGGGAACCAACTCATAATTGGGCTGCTTTCCATTTAGCACCATCTGCTCAGCGTCCTTATGGCCCAGGAGCTTTAGAGCATAGACAGGACTTTCCATCAGGTGCTTCAGAGCCTCCAGAAGTGGTCTAGTACGTCCCACTGTTGCATGCCCTCTGACTTATGTACCTCATGTACCTACTACTTCATTTTCCCTCGTAGAAAGCTGCCTTCCAAGATGCTAATGTCTGCCTGTTTGTGTTTGATTGTATCTACTTCAATGATGTCAGCTTGATGGACAGGTGAGTTGGTTAGTCTTTAAACCCAGGAACTGTCAGGAATCTGTGTTCCTGGGTAGGGAGCGTGGGGCATTCAGGTTAGAAAGGCGTGAGGAACCACCTGGCACATATTCCTTTGTGCCCAGGAGCTTGGCAGAGGCAATGGCAGGAGGGAGCTGAGAGGAAGCACAATTATGATATAGTCATCTCCCCATTTAGTGTAAGGAAGATCCCCTGTGTTGACACCACCTCATTGCTGAGAGCTTAAGCCACAGAGGAAATCCACACCCCCAAAGAAGTATCTCAACTAAAGCAAAATGAACTGTTGCAGAGAAACAGGCTGCGCAAAGTGGGTTTTATTTCTCCAGTAGCACCCATTGGGACACAAGGCAGATAATTTTCAGTTCAGAGGCTTTGACTTCAGAAGAGACTGGCAATAGGAAGCCCCTGATTGCAGGGGAGGCTATGAGTGGGACCATCCTGGGGAGAACTTGCAGTCCTGACTTAGCTACATCCATATGCGTGGGCCTGAGACACCAGTATTGGCCCTTTCCACGCTTAGAAATGTATCCCTGCCCCTGTTGTTCCTGCAGCAGCCATATCCTTGATTATGGTGGGGAAAGGAAGTAGAAGAGAAGAAGAATTAGTGGGGGTAGAAGCTGGAGTTTGAGTCTTGAGACCTGTCTCAGCCTGCTGACCCACAGGCCAGTTCGCCTTGGGGTTGGAGCAAAGCAGGGTGCAGGGAATGGAAAATGAGGGAGTCATCTTTCAATGACCAGAATTTATACAATCTGGGCTAGAGGCCAGCTCTCCCTTGGCTTGCTAAAGCAGAAGTAGGAGCTCCAACTATGAACTGGCTCTATGCTGTGACTCCCAAGTGTCCATCTTTAGTCACGACGGAGCCCTCTTAGCCCCTGACAGAACTGTTACACATACGAGGGTGTTATTCCATGGCGCAGCTTCTGTTGAAGCAAGGAGTTTTATCACTGCACCCCTTCCCTCAGATTCGTAATGGGTAGGAGGCTCCTGGGCTAACCTCAGCTCTCCTGTTCCCTTAGGCCTCTATGTGAGCGGCGGAAGTTTCTTCATGACAACATGGTTGAAATTCCAAACCGGATCATGTTCTCAGAAATGAAGCAAGTCACAGTAAGTGAAGACCCCACTCTAGGCAGTGTCCTGCTGGTTTGAAAGCAGGGCAGACAACCCGTTGGGGCAAGTGTGACTGAGAGAATGAGTCCTAATTATTCTCTTCTGGGGGATCCTGATGTGTTTACCTTTGACTGTATATGTTGTCCACTAGTCTTCACCCAGGAGGGAGGGCATGAAAATCTTTCCTAGGTAAGCACCCTGTGTTTCAAAGCCACAGCAGCTCCCTGGTTAGAATGGGCGGCTCCCTGCTTTCTTGCCCTTTGTTCTTGATATTCAAGTTAGAGTGTTTCCAGTGGGCACTTTACTAGTGTGTGAAAAGGAATAACCCCCACTCACTTCCACGCTACCCTCTTTATTCTCACACCTGCTTCAACATCTCTCCCATTGTCCGTCAGAAAGCTTCAGACTTGGCTGACATGATAAACCGGGTGATCCAGGAGGGCTTGGAAGGGCTGGTGCTGAAGGACGTGAAGGTAAGATGGCTACCCCGTTTTCTCCTGCAGACTCCCTCTGGGTCCTCTGCCCTGAGTCTTTCCAGCCCTGGCCAGGAGATGGCAGTGGCAGCATGTGGTGGTTGGGGGTGGATGCTGAGGGAGCCTTTCCAGGGTGTGGACAGATCTGTTCTGGATCTGGAGCATGGGTTTGTGCAGTGCCTGGAGCCTGAGGGCTCTTCCCAAGAGTGGGCTGGGCACTGTCCTATCCTTGTGTTTTCATTCTAGTTTGTGGTCTTCTCTCTCTTGCTTCCCCTCAGGGCACATATGAGCCTGGGAAGCGGCACTGGCTGAAAGTGAAGAAAGACTATTTGAACGAGGGGGCCATGGCCGACACAGCTGACCTGGTGGTCCTTGGGGCCTTCTATGGGCAAGGGAGCAAAGGTCAGGATGGGCTCTGGACCCGGGACGGTCCTCTTTTGAAAGGCACCACTTGAGGTACAGGCTGGCCTTCTTACTGGCATGATCTGCCGGCATGGCCAGTCATGACTTCTGAAGTCCTGGGAACTGGGGCCCCATGCTGGCTTGTGTCAACTTGGCAGGGAGAAGTCAGGCAGGAATACCCTGTGCTGGCCTAGCATGAGGAAGCTTACCACCTGTTACTTCCTCAGAGCCTGACAGCTTTTTCCTCAGAGAAAATCTCTTTCCTGACTGGAGAGGAAGGTAGAGTCTGAGGAACTAAGTTTTAGGCAGTCACTATAGGCTGAGCACTATTCCATTCCCCAGAACCCAACAGGTATGATTATCCTGAACTTACTCAAAAGGAAACTGGGGCTCATAAAGGCTAAAATTGCACAGCTAGTGAGAGGTAGCTCCAAGAGGTAAACTCTGACACCAAGGCCCGTGCCCCCTCCTCTGCACCTGGCCTTTCCTGGCCTCGTGGGGCTGGCAGAGATGGCTCCCTCTAGCCCACACTCAGACCACACTCCCCTCCCAGGCGGCATGATGTCGATCTTCCTCATGGGCTGCTACGACCCTGGCAGCCAGAAGTGGTGCACAGTCACCAAGTGTGCAGGAGGCCATGATGATGCCACACTCGCCCGCCTGCAGAAGGAACTGGACATGGTGAAGATCAGCAAGGTGAGGAAGGGACCTGGTTGGTCCTGGCCTTGGGACTGGCCATCATTACTGAGACAGAGGCTACACCTGGCAGACTGCAGGTATCACTTATCTCCCCAGAAAGGAGGGTTGCTGCTTGGCTGTTGGGAGCAGGACTGGGCCCTAAAACCTCGGAGTGTCTACCTTGTGGAAAGTGGCCTGCTTGGCCTCTAGGCCACACCCCCCCTGGGCAGGGAGGATCGCATGGGATGTGGGTCAGCTTTTTAAGCTAAGTCACTTCTTCTCACAGTCCTGTTATCAAGAGAAGGGGTTTGAGCCTTGTTCCAGCTTGAGAACAGTCCAGAACAGCATCTTTTCTCCTCCAGGATCCCAGTAAGATACCCAGCTGGCTGAAGATCAACAAGATCTACTATCCTGACTTCATCGTCCCAGACCCAAAGGTATCAATCAACCCAGTGGCTTGGAGTCCTCCAGCCCATAGAATTGGCGTGTGAGTTCTCCAGTGCAACAGAGAAGCCATCTCAGCCTCACTGAAAGTCCATCCAGGGGTAGGGGATCTGAATTCTTCAGCCAAGTGACAGGCCCAGGGACAATCAGCCAACTCTGAGGAATCTTCTTTAGTAGAAGAAGAAAGTACCCATCCTCTCAGCATAGAGTGTCTGTTCTAGGAGAAATCTGGCCCAGTCCCTTCTTGCACAGATAGGACGTCCCAAAGGTCACCCAGCAACAGCAGAACTAGAACTAGAACCTAAACCTCCCAGCTATTAGCCAAAGCTTTTGTGGTTTTAACTGTTCTGTATTGCCTCCAGCTGGTTGGGAGATATTTTCTTAACCAGTGATGACCTGCCTAACTTACTGTTGACAGAAAGCTGCCGTGTGGGAGATCACAGGGGCTGAATTCTCCAAATCTGAGGCTCATACAGCTGATGGGATCTCTATTCGATTCCCTCGCTGCACCCGAATCCGTGATGATAAGGACTGGAAATCTGCCACTAACCTCCCCCAACTCAAGGTACAGCTGTTGGGCTGTCTGTGTGTTCTGCACCCACTGTCCTGGCAACCTTGGGTACCAGTATTGTTCCCATGCCCTCTGTCTTCTCCTTTCCCTCATTCCCCTGAGACACAGCAAACTGGTGCCAGGCAGGGGCAGCAGCACTAGGCCTCCCTCCTACAGTTTCCTAGTGGAGAGCCTTGTGTTCATCAGGCCTGCTGAGCAGCCCTTGCTCTGAAGAGTAACAACTTGCTCTCACAGCCTCCTAGTGAGGAGCTGCAGTTCCCATTTTGCTGATGAAGAGCTAAGGTACAGAGAACAGTGATTTGTGTCCTGATTGCTGAGGTTACAGGGCCATACTTAGGAATAGTATCAAGGAAGCCAATTCCTCTTCCCTGCTCCTTATCTTGCTCACCTCTTTCTTCCCCAGCCACATGTGCCTAAAACACACCACACACTCCACCTCTGAGGCCAGTGTCCAGGCAGGGAATTATATTACCTGACATTCTTCCTCCCCAACTCAGGAGCTATACCAGCTATCCAAGGAAAAAGCCAACATTACTGTAGTGGCGGATGATGAGGGGGGCTCCCCTACAGGGGGCAGCACCGGAGAGAACAAGGGCACCTGGGGATCTGCTGTGGCCCGCAAGGCCCCCAAAGCCTCCCCCAGCAAGCTGCCGGCCAAGAAAGCAGAAGGGAAGCCAAGTAGCCCCAACAGCAAAGATGGTAAGGATAAGGGAGGGGCTGGGGTGATGACGAGGTGGTGTAAGGGGCAGGGACCCCATCTCACATTCCAACCCTGGGGTCACATGATCATCTGGGTCCACTGCAGCTGACTGTTGCATTCCTGGTATGAGCCCATCCATGGACCGGAGCTGTTCTGCTGGGCACCCCCTATCTGCTCAGCAAGCCTGGATGAAGCAGTACCTTGGGAAAGCCAGTCTGACCAGGGGATTAACTACTGTTGAGCTAAAGGGCTTAGTTAACTCTTCCCTCTCCTCTCACCTATGCTCATAGCAGAGGAAAGCCCTGACTTTAGGGACCATTGTCAGCAGCCCCTACCCTCTTAATTCCTATCCCAAACTCTGTCCTACAGGCAACATGCTGACCACAAAGCCGTCCCCTGCGAAGGTGGGAGAGAAGCTAGCTGTGCAGTCTTCTCCAGTGAGAGTGGGGAAGAAGCGGAAAGCTGCTGCTGAGACCCTGTGCCAAACAAAGGTAAGGGTAAGAACAGCCATGTGTGTAGCCCAGGGCCCTGTGTTCCCAAGCCTCTGCACATGAACTTTGGGAGAAGATGAGCTTTGGGTGCTTTGGGGAACATTGGCTAGGTCCCTTCCCTGCTTGTAGCTGCTCCTCTGCCATGGGCAGGGTCAGCAGTGCTGCTGCTCCACTCTGAGCCCTCTTGTTGCCTTGCAGAGGCGGCCAACCAGTGAGCAGAGAGGAAGGAGAGCCGTGCCAACAGGCAGGAGCTAGAGCAGCCGGCCTAGCCAGGAGAGGCCACAGGGACCCACCCAGATGCTGGCCCCAAGTCACAGTTTTTATTAAAAGGGAGAAAGTCCAGTCCAGGTGTGGTAGTGCAGCAGTGTGAGTTTGTGATCAGGGTAGGAGAAGGTCCAGCCAGCAAGGAGTGGGGCCAGGGACATTGCCTTGGTGACTCTCCTCCCACCCAGGAAGCCTTTTCCCTTGTACACTCACTCATCAGTCTTGGATTGGCAATATTTGTTGAGCACCTACTGAGGCCGGGAACTAGGATTAGTACTGGCTCAACTCTGGAGTAGCTGGTGGTCCAATCCAGAAGTAAACATGACCACTACACCATGTAGCTGCGCCCCTACTGTCCCCACCTCCACCCAAGAGTAGGCAAGAAGTCGTGGCAATTCGAGGTTTGAACCCACTCCCCAGCAGACCAATAGAAACCTTTCCCATTTCCCTTTCCTGTCGAACTCATCGACAGTAATGGGCAGGACTCCTGACCCCTTGACCTAGCTAGCTCTACAGAGTAGATAACTCTGTGTATTCACTTGATCTCAGGGGTTGTCACGTAGTCTGGTTGCACTGAATCAGTCAGCCCTGCCTGTCCACCAGCCACTGGATAACTCTTGTAGACATGTACTTTTTCCATCTCCAGGTCCCAAGAGTTGAGGCCCATCTCTTCTCCCTCCTTTTCCCCAAGGCACGGATGGAGGAGAGTGTCAGTATTGTATAATTTGGAGTGACTGGAAGGGGTTGGTGGCATTGATGCATGCGCCTTTTCTCCAGTAAACTGTTTGTATGTGCATCCTTAACTCTAGGCTCCTTCCTTACTCTGTCCTGTGCTCATCTGGGTAAGACCATCTGTACCCAGTGTGGGTCCGACTCCACCCTGATCCGTCTGCATTTGCAGGTGCTGCTGGATATCTTCACTGGGGTGCGGCTCTTCTTGCCACCCTCCACACCAGACTTCAGCCGTCTAAGACGCTACTTTGTAGCATTCGACGGGGACCTGGTACAAGAATTTGACATGGCTTCAGCCACACATGTGCTGGGTAGCAGGGACCAGGACCTTGAGGCCCAGCAGGTCTCCTCAGAGTGGATTTGGGCATGTATCCGGAAAAGGAGACTGGTAGCTCCCTGCTAGGCCTACTGTCTTCCCTCTGCCTCAGGCCATATCTGCCTTATCATACTGCTGGACCAGGTTCAGGCTGGAAGCAAGTAGACAGAGGAACAGGTTTGGGGCAGTGGGCTCGCTTCTCTAAAACCCACCAGTTCTCCATGGTCTCTGCTGGACCAGGAATTAGTTGCTGTGGGTACCATAAGTGAAGTCAGTTTCTCTAGCTGGCTTAAACAGACCTTTCAGATCAGGGTGCTGGCTTTGTCATCTTTGTTTTCTTTGAAAAGAAGCCTAGTTTTTTGTTTTTTTTTTTAAATAAATGAATATCTTGTAGTTCTCTGTTCTTTCCCCACCTGCACCCCTACAATTTCCCTAGTGATGAAAGGAGTAGAGGCTGGGCTATTGAAGTTGTGTCCACAAAGCCTTCTCTCCTCTTCTTGCCTGCCTTTGTACTCTCAAGCTCATCTTATTATATTTAAAAGACTACCCTCAAAAATGCTTCTTTTCTTTCGCAAAACGTATATTCAGCGTGGCTTCCTTTGCCAGGAATGAACCCTTACTTGAAAGAAAACAAAATGAACTTTTATGATTTTATTCTGTGTTCTCCTGTTACAGGGTGAGGATTCCCAGTTTGAAGGGAGGGGACTAGAATCAGGTAGGAAATGGGGCCTTTACGAAGAAAAGGGAGGTTATTTGGGATACTCCTCTAGGGGGATAGAGTCTTCAGGAAGACCTGGCTTCTCCACATCTGGAAACAAGACTGCGCTTGAAGAATCCAGACCAGGCTCCGTGGCTGAGCCTGTAATCCCAGCACTTTGGGAGACCAAGGCAAGTGGATTGCCTGAGCCCGCTGGTTCCAAGAACAGCCTGGACAACTTGGTGAGACCTCGTCTCTACAATAAAATAAAAAATAGCCGGTAGCTCGCATCTGTAGTTCCGGGCTACTTGGAAGGCTGAGGTGGAAGGATCGCTGGAGCCCAGAAGGTCAACGCTGGGGTGGCTGTGAGTGTGCATGCCACTGTACTCCAGCCTGGGCGAAGGCATGAGACTCCAGCTCAAAAAAAAAAAAAAAGAAGAATCTACACCTGAGATCAAATGTACACAGCCTGCTTACAAAGAACTCCTGTGCTACCTGAGGCTGATTTATTTGAAGAACAAAAGGAAGACAATTTGGTGTAGACAAGTTCTTTTCAACAGAACTTTTTGCAGCAATGGAAATACACCATAAATCTGCACTGTCCGACTGAATTAGCCGCAGGTGGCTCCTGAACAGATGAAATATGACTAGCACAACTGAAGAACTGATGTTGTTTATAATACCACTTAATATGGTCACATGTTGTTAGTGATTACCACATTGGACAATGCAAGTGTAGACAGTGTGTGGCTGAAGCCATGTCAAATTTCTGCACCAGGTTTAAATTGGAGCCTAAAACTTAGTAGCTGTAACCTCAGGCAAGTTACTTAACATTGGAACCTCAGTTCCTCCAAGGAAAATGGGAATAGACATTGAAATTAAATCAAAGGATTGCCATAAATGTCCTTGGATGCATTATGTTAAACATCTCATGCAGAGGCTGGCCCATAGTTATCTAGAGTCGGGAAGGTCACCGTTGGCGTGCATGTTCAAAAGACTGCCCTCAAAAATTCTTCTTTTCCTTCGCAAAACTTACATTCAGCCTGGCTTCCTTTGCCAGGAATGAACCCTTACTTGAAAGAAAACAAAATGAACTTTTATGACTCAGAACTCTCAGACTTTAGCCACAGGTCTGCACACTCCAGTTCACATTCCACTCAGCGAGTGCAGGCTCATCATCAGGACACCATATGGTTATAAACTGGCTTCCATGTCCCAGTCCTCCCAACTCTTGAAGAGAAGAGGATCAGTTCTCTTCCCTTATCATCAGATTAGCAGACTTTGGGTCTAAAAAATTGAGGACCACTGCCTCCACTCACCCCCACTGTACTCAACTAAATAATCCTCTGCTGGGATGCTGCTTGCCAGTTAGCTTGGAAACCAACTTCAATCTGATTGACCTTGATTCCCGCCTACTGTTTAAAATGTGTGTGTTGGGGTGTAGGACAGGAGGTGTGGGTACTTTCCTGACTCTAGCCCAGGACATTCAGTGTTTTTGAATAGGCACCATTCAGTCTGGCTTAAGCATTAGGGATAAGACACTTTTTATTCCATCCTTTGCGGAGACAAAAGCTCCTCCTTTGAGCACTGACCTACATAGATTTTCATTCCCCTCTCCAGCTTCCTCAGGCAACCGGACAGGGCAGCAGAACAAGACTCCCCCTCAGGAGCCTCTCCAACTAGGCTGATCTGGACATAGCCCTTACTGGTTGTCTGCACCTAGACTGCACCCTCACAACAAAAAGAGTGCAGCCAGCTGCAGGTGATCATCTTGGTCGCCTCTGCTCTACTGCTTGTTATCTCCATTTCATACCAGTGGTATCTTGTGTGGCTCCTTCCAGTCTGCTGCTGAGATTTGACTGTATATGCAATTTTGTATCCTTTCATATATTTCCATACAACCCTAAACAACATTCTTGTAAACCTCCCCAGCAGAATGCTGGAGGCCTGCTTTCTTTGAACCTTTACCTGTCACTGGATGTCAACAGGCACAGGTCATCACTGGGTGCAGACAGGTTGGCCACCTAGCAATTAGGACAATGTGTATGGCTCAGCCTTTATATCTTGTAGCACGATTCCTTCCTCTAATCCCAGGGCAGAGGTATGCACATACTCTTGGTCTCCAAGGGTCACATTCTCAGGAGTCTTCTTCCCTTTCCTTGGGCACCTGGTCAGGGAGATGTGGACAAGCTTGTGCACACCAAGCAGTATTCCCTGAGGCTGGGGCTAGCCTTTTCTGAGCCACTCCATCTGTACCCACAGATGTATCCCAAAGCTACCATGTATCTCCCAGAGTAACCTGAAGACCTAACTGGGCATACTAGCTATCCTCAGATTCTTTCTACCCAGATCTCTAAAGCCTGTCTCTTCTAGATCAGTATCTTAACTCAGTGCTTCTTCCCATTTGTCTTGAGATTCGCCCTTTTCCTACCCAGCCCCCATTTTCTTCTAGGGCATTCTATGGCCTCTTGCACATATCACTTGTGAGGTCTTGGACAAGTCACAATACTGAGCATCTTGACCAAGGCCACATGACCCACACACCTCCAAGAATAATGCAATATATCAAGAGCGTGCCTACATTCATGTGGCCCGGGATTAGCCTGTGGTTTCTCAGTTCTTTTGTCAGTCTTAGCAACCTCTGGCATCCTCACACCAGATAGGACAGGCATCTGTATTGAAACTTTATTACAAAATTATAAAGCAGAGCTCTGTAACAAAAAAATACATATTTGGGTTTGCTTTAACCCCCTCAAGGAAGTCTGAGAAAATCATAATATAAGCCACTTGAAGTAACACATTCACATCCAAGAGATATCCACAAATTTATACAATATAATATTGAGACTGATTCCTGTACAGCTTATTATTTTTAGTTTGGATCCAACTATTCCAATATATTACGAACCGTCAGCTGTCCAGTTCATTTTAAAACAAGTCTCAACTGAAATTTCAGAGCAATCACAGCAAAAGCTACGGAATAATTGGAAGAATCAGCTATTTCCATGATAATTAAAACCAAGGATCCATGAGGGGCAAGAGGGAGGATTGAAGGATTACAAAAATCAAGTTTTATACCTGGGTCAGATGTTAACTGGAATGAGATGTTTTATTGGAACTCCCAACTTGGTGTAATAATAAAAATGATACAAAAAAATCAGGGTGGTTTGACACCTTTTTTCCTAAATGGAAACCTTCACCAAAAGAGAAAAATGTAAAGGCAAGTTATTTCTCCAAAATGAGCAAATGACAAATGACATCAGTTTTCATTCTTAACTGAGGTTACTAGCCAGCCATCAGTATATTACTTTCAATTTGTGTATAGGAGGGAAATTGATAGGTGGGAGGGGAGGTAAGGCCTCAGCAGAGAAAGCAAGTTGTAAGTAGGAAGAGAGCCAACTTCTGCCCAGAAGTTATTGCTAGATCTTAACTGAGTTGTATATACACAGACCTGTTTCACAGTGGAATCAAGAAGTAGCTGAATGAATGGTCCTTTGCTAGACTAGACTGGTAGGCACTGTAAACTACAGTACTTACTGTCTGCCAGAAAGGTAAAAGGTGATGTCTTCATGGGAAAAATCTCTGATTCCCCCAACTCTTAACAAAGGCTGTGGCCCAGAATCACATCATCCAGGACTTGATATAATGCTGAAGTAAGTGACCCAGTGTTCAGCTGACAACTACTTTATGAAATTATGTCATACCCCTGGAAGGAGTTTAGCAGTTGATGATGGAGGGGAAGTATAAATATGTCTGTACCAATATAATGGTCCCTTTAGAGGTTTTCCACTGTGATCCAGAATCATGATTGATTTTTCTACTTTTAGAGACCTCAGCTGCACATTGGGGGCAGCAGAGGGGTCTGCATAGTTCATGCACTGGTAATGGGAGAACACATAACTCTTCTGATAGCATGTGTGTTTTGTGCTTGGCCAAGCTTCTTCAGGAAATGTTCTTAAGCCCCCTTGGCTCTTCCAGGTAGGTAAAGACTAAGAGGGTTCAAAAAACATTACCTACCCATTACATGGTCCTAGAGAATGCTTCCTCCCTGACCTGCCCCTAAAAACCAGTAGGCTAAGAAAGGAAATGAAAGTAGGGACATCCTACCAACTTGGGGAACGAAGACTTCAACTGTCTGGTCATGGTGAAATCCAGTCTCATTTGGCACCTTCTGAAATCTCTTAGGTGTTCTGTCTCACATGTTTGGTCTCCAGCAAATTCATGAGAAGTACGGCTAGAGAAAAGCAAGCCTTTTTGTCTGAGTCTGTATGCCTTTGGTGAGACCAAGTTTAAAACCACCATGAGTATGAGAAGGATTTCATTTTCAGGGGAAAGTGGTTTAAGAATCCTGACTATTGAAAAAAAGATCAGACGTCAAGCCAAAGTTAAGTGGAAAGCCACTGCCTCCAACCAACACTTACCCTTTCCTCATAAACTAAAATAAAGAATGGTACAAAGTCAGGTCCCAAGAGAGGAGAAGCAGGAGTGATTATCCATGCACCATCCCTTCCAATGATCATACTTTCCCAGCAGTTTGGGAGCCAGGATGTTTTGTTGGTTTCCAGGGGGTCAGATCAGAAGACATAGCTTCCAATTCCAGTACTTAAGGAAGTCACTCTAAACAACTTTGAAATTTTTTGATAGCATTTGTGTTTCATTTCTCACCAGAGATAAGTTTACTGGTCCAAATTCTGTCCTAAGGATCACTATTGGTTTAGTAAACTAACATATTTTTGGTCCAAAGAAGCAAATGGATTTTAGGCGATGGAGCAAGAGATTTAGCAAAGGTAGGTTAAAGTACAGAAAGCCAGGGGCACCAGAAATTTAAATTCAAATGTGCTGGGGAAGGAGAGAACCATTTCCAGCAGGAAACACACAGGCAGTCATCTCCAGGGGAGGGGTAAGGTACAGGAGGAAGAGTGAAACTGTCTAGGTTCTCGGAGAAAGACATGATCCAAGTTCTAGAAAGTCCTCTGTTCACCAGTTACCATCATCACTCCAAGATCACTGAAAAAGGACTCACCCATGTGCTTTGCACCAGTTCCTACTGGCCTCAGGGGCTTTGCCAGCCAAGAGGTGCACCCCTGTGGCAAGACAGGCATGCCCAGGGGTAACATGGCATCTTGCTTGCCCTGGTCTTGGGAACACTGCAACACTTCTTCTGTTAGCTTGCACTTCTGCAAGCTGGCCAACCCTGAGCCCAGACACTCCGGCTATGTTCCTGTAAGGCACTGAAGAAGCTGATACAAGCCCTCAGGACCGGAAGACGTGCACAGCTCGGATCACATACTGCCGGCAGATAGGACACTCATTCATGCGCTTGCCACACTTGGTACATGTAACCATGTGGCCACACTCCAGCAGAACACAGTCAATAGGTGAGTCCATGCAGATTTTACACAGGTTCTCCTCCAGGCCAGATGGCAGTGCTCCTCCTACACAAACACATAGGATAAAAAAGGGCAGAGGGAAAAGTAAGGAGATTGTCTAAGTGTATGAGGTGGTAGAGGGATGGAGGTGGGAGCTAACCAGCACACTGTGAACAAACCCCCAAATGCACACACTTCCCTCAAACAGAACTTCTTCAAGAAAACTTTCCTCAGTCACCAACTCCATTGCTTGTTTAAACCCATACCTCCTCCCTTCCAAGGGCTGTAGATTTGAAGAATACAGTACTTATGGATCAAACACACCCCAGAACATAAGAACTAAGGCAAAGTCCTCAAAGCTTAAAATAAATAATTTTCTCACTGTACTGAGGCTGTAATATAGTGAGTGAGTGGCACCTAGGGACTCATTATCCTGAGGCAGAACATGCTGGTTCAGAAAAGTTTAGATATAAAAGGGAACCGCAATGAATGGTTCATTAAGGATCGCAAGTCTTATCTATAAGCATATCCCCCATTTAGTAAAGTCAAGGATCTTAGGGGCCTCCTGTGCTATCCCACAAGCTACCCCAGGGCTTTCTCTGAGGAAACTTCCTGATGGAGAAGCTTGGCAGAAATTATTGCTCATTCTGTGCTGCCCCCATAGAACTTTTCTCACACCCCCATGACTGCTTATCGCACTGGATTATGATTCTGAGTTTGTCTACTTATCTCCACCAGTAGACTATGAGTTCCTTAATTCAACATATTCAGTCAACTTCTACAATTATATACTTAGTATTTACTACATACTCTGAGGTTAGATATTCACCTTTGAACCCCCAAAATGCCAGTCACATGGTAGGTGTTCTCCAAACGGCTGATGAATGAACATGACTGAAAACAGCTCACATTTACTGAATGCTTACCTAAGCCAGGCGGGGTCCTAACTCACTGAGCCTCACAAAAACTATGAAGTAGGAACTCCTAACTCTCATTATATAAATGAAGCCACTAGGGCCAAAGAGTTAAGTGGCTTGCCCAAGGGCACACACAGCTGCTAGGTAGAGGAACCAGGATTCAAACCCAGACAGGCTGACCACACAACTCCTGCATTGTATGGCCTTCCGCGTTAGTGCCTGAGGACAGAGACTATCAAGATAGTATTACCTGCCTAGAGCACAGAGTTCTCAATAAATGCTAACTGGTCTGTACTGGTGGTAAGATGCAGTGGGCACAACCAGTATCTTTCCAGTTTATAGGGGTACAGAAAAATCTTCACGTTCAAAAGTCCAGCCATCTCCAACAAACCTTAAATTGCAGTCTGAACTAGGATAGCCATAAACAGCCTCATACCAGTCACCTACATCTGTGGTTAGGCTACTGTTGCTTTTATACTTTTTTCCCCCCTCTTTTCTGGACTATTCAAAAAGTCAAGAAAAACTTCCCCTAGAAGGTGGGCTGAATGTGGAAGGGAGTGAAAACTATTTACCTCCTTTGAGGTGCTGTTAGCCCTAACAGGGAAGATTTAGAAGGGACTGAACTAAGCAAATAGCTAAGATGAGTGGAGTGATTTATAGATTTTCAATTACTTATTACTTCTCTAGAGAGTAACAATAGGCCGGCCTCAGTGGCTCAGCCTGTAATCCCAGCACTTTGGGAGGCCAAGGTGAGCGGCTTGCCTGAGCCCACAGGTTCAACACCCGCCTGGGCAACTTGATGAGACCTCATCTCTACAACAAATCAAAAATTAGCCGGGTGTGGTAGCGCGTGCCTGTAGTTCCAGCTACTTGGAAGTCTGAGGCGCAAGGATCGCCGGAGCCCAGCAGGTCGAGGCTGCGGTGGCCAGGAGCAGCCATCACACTCCAGTCTGGGCGACAGAGTGAGATTCCAACTCAAAAAAAAAAAAAAAAAAAAAAAAGAGAGAAAGAGAATAACAATAAACGCATCAGCTCAGTTGTCAGCATTCTTCCAGTGAATCAGAAAAGGAAAGGAAGGCACCAAGTGGATTAGCCTGATCTTGGTACCAGGTGAGAGGTAGGTCTAGAACTCTAAATGGTTTTGGGGAATTTGTAAAAGCTCAACGCTCTTTTATGTCTCATAAGAAATCATTCTGAACAAACCATTCTGAGCAAAAGGCCATTTTACTAAATAACAAATGTAGGAAGATTTCTGAAAAAGATTAAAATGCTCCACAGGCTCTAACACTACTCTGAGAATGCTCTCTCGGGAGGGCACTCACAACCACATAGCCTTGAGGCTTTCAAAATTATACGTCATATTTTAGAATGCTCCCCCAATGCTCAGGAGTTCTGCAGGGTTCTGGGGTTCCTGAAGGCCCAGTGGTGGTCTTTAAGTATGGGATATGCAGCTTGAGCCCACACAGTATCACAGGTGACCCCTTTCTGATCTATCTCTGGAGCAACTCTAACTGCTGCCAGCCCTGTACAAACAGGGCTCTCTTGGGTCATGACCCTTTCTTTTTGGTTGGTACCAGAGGCTGGTAAACATCCTGAGTGATTTCCCTGAAGGTGCACAAAGAGACCCTCTCCATTCAGACCAGAAGTGAGTAAACACACCAGGATTATGAAAAATGTGTGATACTTGCCACCACTTGCTCTGCTAAATGTTTTGCAATACTGGCTTCTGAGTTTGGCAGTGCAGAGATGTGCACATCAGTCTGCCCCCAGGTATGTGCCACTCTGTTCCCTACAGAACAGAGTGAAAAGTGGAGAGTGAAAAGTCCTACAGATGCTGAGGTGAAGCTCTGGTTCTCGGTGCATTTCCCACACACCATCTCTCTGGAAGCCCAAGTGCTCAGACTTCTGAGACTAACAGGAATCGGGGTAGGAGGAAGGAAAAGACAGAAGAGCTAAGAGCCTAAGCCCATTCCCAAACAGAAACAACTACATACCGTTTTGGTCTTCAGCACCACACACTGAAAAGGAAAGAGAGATGTCTGAATAGGTGATGGCATATGGCGCAAACAGTCTTTTCCCACCTAAGGTCATTTCTGGACTCTGACCACTCCCTGCTGGGAAAGACACTTGCCCTCTTCACTCATCTGAATGCTGAGAACTCAGCTCCTGCTGGCATGTCTGGTCTAATCTTAGAAAAAAGTATTCTACCCATTTGCATAAACAAACCGCCAAGTAGAAGGAGACTGAATTTGCACAGTATCTTTTTCTATTGCTTTTGAAGCCAGCATTAAAGACAAGAATGAATGATCTGGCTATTTCAGTCAGGGAGTCTGGATTCCATTCTCATGTAGAATCATCTGTTCTATTCCCTAGGTCCTCACAACTTGAGGGAGAGTCTTAAGATGGTCCCAAAGGGACGACTAGGACTCCACATCAGTAAGTCTCAGTCTGTGATTGCATGAACAGTCAAATGTTCCATAATACTGATGAATCTGGGTTACCAGTAGAGCCCAAAATCTGATTTCAAAATCTGACTCAACTCCTATCATGCAAGGAATCAATATGTTGCTCTCTTAGAACCAAATCAGTTGGGAAGGGGAGAAAAGGTGAGTGCTCTGGGGTGAAGTAATTTTAGGAAATGCCACGTCCAAGCAGCCAAACACGTTTCTCTTCTACAGGACCTCTCTGCCTTTAATATAAAAGTATCTACCATGAGTCAGTAACAAAGACACAGTAAAAAGTAATTTTTCTCAAACTTATTTAACCACAGACCCAGATAATTTTCTGGGCATCTCCTGAAAATGGGAGCATGTTAAAATGCCTTGGGAAATGAGCAAAAGGAAAAACCCAAGAGCAGGCAAAACAGATAGATTCTCCCACAATGTGTGCAAAGATTTGCATTCTAACTTCCCAAATGTTTAGAATAAGTATTGTTGGAGGTGGTAGGAGTGTGGAGAGGGTGGCAAAGGGTGCACAGGCTATGGGCTTAGACTGGAAAATTCTCAGTTCAAATCTGGGCTCCACAATACAAGGGTGATGCTATGAATGCCTATATCACAGGTTGCTCTGAGGAGTAGATAAATATATGCAATGCCTAACCTAGTCTTGATACTCAACCACAAATGGTATCTATTATTAGATGGTACAAATGGTGTAAGGTGACTCCTTCCACAGCTAAAGGCATGGAAATTGGGTCAGGTGGATGCCATCATGCTTTTGAGTGACAGCAAACACTCTGGAGCTCTATGCAGCTGCCATCCAGACAGTTTCTCACCCAAATGCTGGAGTCCTTTCTGATCTTTGTACAACCGCGTGACCCTCTCCATCAGCTCCCACTTCTCACAGCAGCCCTTATAGTTGACAAAATTGCGAGCCAGGATCTCCTTCAGCTGCCGCACTGTCAGGCCTTCAATGTCCTCCAGGTCAGTCAGATCAGATAGAGAGGCCCTCCGGCCCGGGACGAAGCTGTCTTCTGAGTCAATGGACTGCAACAGCAAAGAAGACATCAGTGTGCTCAGCCCTCACCTCCCCTAGCTCTCTCCAGGGACCTCAAAGCATACATCACCCCACACGTTTGGTGACTGACCACAAGAAGAGTGGGAACAGAGATAGAAAGAATATCTGGCATGGTGCTCTGCATTGCCAAAGGACTACAATCTCTTCCTGATTCACAGTTCTGTGTTCAAGCACAGACGGCCACAAACCAACCAATCAGTGTGATATAGTAGAACGTCTGACTCAGATGGCCCTAATTTTGAACCCTAGCTCCTCCAATGATTAATGCTAAATAATAATCCATTTAGTTGCTTACCTCTCTGAATCTGTTTTCCCCCCATAAAGGAGAGATCGCAGTCCTACCCCACAGAATTCCTGTGAAGATTAAATGTGGCAGCACATGAAACCACCAAGCATGGTGCTGGCCTTTCTCTCTCTGCTAGAGAGTTCTGCGTGCCCATAGGATGAGGCCAACATCCCTGACAGGCACTCCTCTATATAAACCCTCAGTCACAGCCCCTTGGCCTTGATCACTTGAGGGCTATGCTCTGGACTGGACCCCGCCCCGCTGAGACCTAAATTTCTGATTATCTGATCTCCTTCCCCTGACAATGGCTACTGTGCGCTAGAAGCAAGAGGAAAAAAAAGAACAAGATTTTCACAGCAGCACCACAATCCTGCCCTCTGGCCGCTCTTAGAAAATCAATATATGGAAATATAATGGGCCATGAGGCTCCCCAATCTCCAATGTGAGCTCACAACTCCACACTGACAGTTCAAAAGTTAATCTGGAACACTAACACTGAACTCCATCCATCCTGAAAAGAGAATTTCAAAAGGACTGGCATCACAGACTGATTCTTCTCTTTCTACCTCCAAGTCTGCTAAAAGGTTCTTAAGTACATACTAAAAACACCAGTGAAGGGGCGAAGGGGAAGGAACAGACCCAAGCAGAGGCCCCACCTGGGTCTCATCCTCAGCAGGTGCTCTGGCTGTGCTCTCCAGGTAGATAGGATCCTCTTGGTCCTGAGACACATGGCCATTGGCCTGTGGGAAGAAAAAGATGACATCACATCCACAGAGATGTCCCAGAGATGCACACAGCACGGGCCTCTTTCTAGATCACACAATGTCCAAAATGTATTCCCATCTCCCCCCCAGAAATCTGGACTCTCACAACATCATGACAAAAGCCTGCTCTCTCATCCTGACTCTTTCAGACAGAGAAACCACACAAATAGACTTCAACAGACATAAAGCTGCCTTCTAGAACATGAGTGCATTAATTCTACCCACCACCAGCAAGACAGTAGCCACTACTCACTGCCAATTTACTCTCAGCTTGAGCCCTCCAGGTGAAGGGAAGGTCACTATGTCCACTCTGCTGCTGGAATGCTCTCTGACTGCCATCGAGTTTTTTTCTTGACACTGATCCAAAACTGTCCTCCCTATAACTTCTACGCACTATCACTGGTTCTGCCCCTCAGATCAGTGTGTCTACTGTTTTTTCCAAGGTGGTCATATCATGTCTTCCCTTCCTTCACACAAAATCACCCTAAGCTTCCTCATCTGACACTAATGGGACAAACTTTCCAGATCCTCACCACACTAGTCTCTCTTTTCTGCCTGTAACTGGGCTCTCACGTTCTGAAAATGTGCTCACACCTGTTGAGCACACTATTTCTAAGAGCTGTCTCGAAACCTATCAAACTTTAATGTATCTAAGAATCCATTAGCCTATGACCATATAAGACAAATGCCTGTGCTTAAGGAGTTTCATTCTGCTTAGAATTCTATTCTCAAAAGGTTCCTTCTGAGTATTCCTTTAGGTGGTTTTGCCAAAGAATAGTCAGAACTGTAAGCCTCTAATTCCATTACCATTTAAGCCACAAACCCCCCAACTAGATCCTCTTCACCCACTGCTCCCTCCAGGTAAAAGGTCTGCTGTGCACTCAGAGCAAAGAGGCATCTGAGCCCGCAGGCCCTTTTTTCAGACCCTGGGAGCACCAGCAAAGGAACAACTTGGGAAACTAAAGTCACCTACTGACGCTAGCTGCTCATCCCAGATTAGGTTAGGATGCATAACATGGAGCTAATCAATAAAAGGCAAGCTACAATAGAAATGAAAAGTAGAAATGACAATAACACAGCTGAGCCAATGGCTCCTGCCTATAATCCCAGCACTGTGGGAGGCTGAGGCAGGAAGACCGCTTGAGGCCAGAAGTTCAAGACCAGCTTGGGCAAGACCTCTTTCTCAAAAAAAAGGAAGAAAAAAAAAAGCCACAAGTTGTGGTACATGCCTGTAGTTCTAGCTATTTAGGAGGTTGAGATGGAGGGATTGTCTGAGCCCAGGAATTTGAAGTTATAGTGAATTCATCACTGCACTCCAGCCTGGGCAACAAAGAAAGACCCTGTCTCAAAAAAAAAAAGAAAGAAAGAAAAGAAAAAGAAATAGCAAAATACCAAGTGATGACAAGATCATGCACATAACAGCACACATGTATGGGAATGCATTCAAAACAATGTCCTCATCAATACCTCTAGTTTTCTCTTAGCTTTATGGTGCCCAGTGGACTCTTGGATAGTGCCATCTTGCAACTACCTTGGAATCTTTCAGAGCCTAACCTGTTCCTAAGTGGATAGTTTTCTTATGTCCTTTGTTTCCTAGACAGAAATTGGACCTACTGTTGTAAAGCATGCTCGTCTTTCCAGTTTACCCACTGGCTAAATCAAAATCTACAATTAGGACCTGTCCACAAGTGTGCTTATTGTATATACTTCCTTGCTAGGGAATTAAAGATAAAAGAAAGAACCTGGTGGAGCAAGTACTATAAGGAAATTTACATTCTAGGTGCAGCTTACTCTTAGCCTTGAGTAAGTTACTTAACTCCCCTATGCCTGTTTTTCTGCTTGCTAAGTACATATCTTACCCGAACAGGGGATGTGAGCAGATACTGAAGCCTTCTGAAAATCTCAGGGGAAAAGTACCCAGTAAGATCTAGTATTAAGGATGACCTGCAGGTGTAATCTGGAAACTTCTGGTTAATGACAGGAAGCTTCTAATCTTTTATTAAAAGAACCTACCTGATTGTTCTTTACAGAAAAACAATTCCTCAAGGTCTTCTCCTGGCTCCCCGTAAATGGGGAAGAGTACTCCAAAAACCAAGCAAAGAGGAATATATAGCAGGATGTAAATCCTGTCCAGCAGAGCCAGAGCCAGAGCTTAGGAAAATGTGAAAAGTCCAGCAGGGGAGAAAAGCATGCTCAAGCCAAAATGGGAATTAAATAATTTTACTGCAGTTAAATTATGCTATCACAGTGGCCTTTATGCCTCAGTACCCATCGAGAGCTGAATCAGGGGGGCCAGACCTGGCAAAGGAAGTGATCATAAACAAGATCCACATCGTGTGTGGGAACTGACAATGCTCTAAGTAGCTCAGAGCTCTTCAGACATGATCTCACACCTCTCAAGCCTCCCAACACCCTGGCAAGATCAAACATGGCCTGAGATTACTAACACCACTGCAGGCTCAACATTTTCCCAGGACCATGAAGTCAGTGACAAAAGTGGAAACCAGATCTTCTAGTTCCTAATATCCCCATATTGCCCAAGCCCTATGAAGAACAGGGTCAGTAAGGCACCTGTGTGACACCACCACTCCTTAGCCAACAGTTACATCTACTGGCCTCGCTCTAACATAGTAGTCAGCGATCTATGTGTCCACCCTTCCTCTTCTGGGGACTTTTTGAGGACGAACAGTATACACTCACTTCTGTTCTCCCCATGCCTGGCTCATGGCTCAATCAATGTGCTGTGCTGAGCTTACCATTTCCAGGCCCCCTCCCAGGATAATGAAATAGCAGACTCCGGTACAGCAGTATCCCAACCCCTCCCTCCCAAACAGTGACTGGCAAAAGAAGCAGAGTTCTTGTCACAGTGTTTCTCTCTCCTTCCCTCCACATATTCTTTTTTTCCCTAATACCTTGTGCTGGTTACTAAGGAACCAAGTCCCAATCCAACAAAGGTAAGGAAGTCAGAGGGCAAAACTGGAACAGAACTAAATTTGGAGAGTTTAATGGCAAGTTTTCTCAAAATAGTTCTGGCACAATGAAATTTTTTAAAATGCCTAGCTAGAATATGTATGCATTAAAAACAAACAAAAACTACAAAACAAAGCCCTGGTACTGTGCATATATATCATCTCTGAAGAAAGACAAAACATGAGGGCAACCCCTTTGGGTACCCTCCCATTGTGGGAGCTTTTCTGTCCTCTTAATAAATCCTGCTTTAAAAAAAAAAAGAAAGAAAGACAAAACATGAGTCTGATGTCCAGAAAACACCTCTTCATGTGTCAGTGGGCAGAAAGACTTCACACAGTCAAGGCTTCACACTTAAACTTCACACATTCCCACAATGCTGGTCCAGGTAGGAGAGGAAAATGAACCCTCACACTGGAACAGATTGGCAGAGACTGCAAACGGGCCGTACCTGCTGACTTTCCTGAGCCCGGGCTGAGGCGACAGAGGTGGCTTGTGGAGATGAAGAGGGGAGATTGGGTGAGGTAGGCGGAACTGTGCTGGCATGAGGCTGTGTGAGGAAGGCCTGATGCTCAGGGAAGTCCGTGGACAAGGTGGGGGCACGAGTCCTGCCCTCCTGGGAGATTACAGGCTGTTGGCCAAGCACCAAGAGCACCAGCTCCTCTTTCTCCCGGCACATTTCGGTGGAGATGTCATGGAGGCTGAGATAGTCCCTCAGGTCCTTCACCTTCATCTTCATGAGCTCCTCCCGCTGAAAGGCTGTGGCTCGGAACCGTTGGCAGAGAAGGCAGAGGCGGGGCCCATTCCCCACTTGGCTTGAACATGTCATGCAGAAATGCTTCTTACAGTCCAGGCAGGTCTGCTGCTTACATAAAGAGGCAGAGGAAACCATGTCAGACCGAGAGAACAAGCTGGAGAGAGGGAGAGGAGCTTCAGGTCTGCCAAGCCTAGCAGGATTTCCTTCAGTCACTCGTACTTTTACTAAGCTATCTCCTGATCTAAAGGTGCAAACCACTTTGTAGTTGTTAGACTGAAAGTCACTGAGAGGTTGGCAGACCTCTGGAATGTGTCTGTGTATTATCTCCATGTAAAGGACACTTCACATTTATTAATTCACCTGAGGCTTACTTTACTAACAAAGAATGCGAGGGTATGAATCAAGACCACCAGTTTTAGAATAAAAAAAGCTCTGTATTGTCATTAAGTTTCCCTCCCTTCTTGCAGTGTCACCTTGGATGTGTAACCTGACCTCCCCGGCGTTCAGTGTCCACATCTGTGAAATGGGATGAAAACAGTATCTACCTCAGGGGGTTGCTTTGAAGATTAAGAGAAAATGCATTTTGCATATCTGACACATGAGTCCTCATTAAGTGTTAGCTGTTTTAACTATTATTGCTAGGAAAAATTGGCTAATGATAAAAGCCAGAATTCTTTCTGCTTTATTGCTAAGGCAAGAAAGCAAATGTCTGAAGGTTGTGGCGTTGCTACTGGTTACTATAATTATTAGTGTTAATTAAATTTACTGACGTACTCTTATGTGCTTCTATACCTAGCTTGTCCTTTAATTCTCAGGGCAATTCCACACAGTAGGTTTTTGTGTTGTTCCCTGATTCACAGACAAAGCAACTTGGGTTTAGAGAGATCAAGTATCGTATTCAAGGTCGGGCAGTAAAGAGCAGAGCTGGGATTTGCACCCGAGGTCTGTCTGAGGCTAATGCTCATGGTCACACTTTCCACCAGGCCTTGCTGCGTAGCTCAGTCCCATTCAAGTACAGAGCAGCACTGACCAGGGGCCTGGCTTTCCATCTGCAAACTCCCAACCCACTGCCCCATCCTCAGAGGCTGGGTCAGGCTCCCCACTCCAGGAAGACCCACTTATAGTGTTGTAAATTCAGTGGTGCATAAGACCACATGCAAGACAAATATTTAGACAGCTATGAGAGGCCCTCTGGACATTAGGGTCTCTCGTCTGTGAAAGCACAGAGTGTCTCAGGCAGGCGACGAGAGCGCCTGACAGGCTGGCTGGTACTGCCTGGCAGCAGCTACTCCCACAGTCACTGACAACACTGTGGGAGTAGCTTGCTCAATCACAGGAAGCAATCCTCAGCCTTTCACCCCACAGGCTGGGTGAGCGCAGTGACATCTGGCTGAGCTCTGTTCTGGCCAAGAGCAGGTCACACCCCCATCAAGAAAGGTAATTCCTGAGCACATTGGGATTGGCCTGGAGGGCACCCTCACTAATCCTTTCAAGAAGTAACTGTTCATCCTGTGGTGACTTAAGTATTAACCTAGATGTTTCTGCTCTCTCTTTTCTAAATATAGAAAGCCGTTCAGTCTAAAAAAGATGTCCAAGAGACAAGATTCTCATAGTCAAGATCACAGACACACTTGTATGGGCTGAAGTAAAAAATCTGCATAGTTAAGATAGTTATATTCAGTTTTTGTCTAAGTGTCATTCATATAGTAAAGGGAAAAAGAAATTATGTTTACCATCCAGTTTTGGCTATTAAGACTTAGAAAGCACTGTGAAGGGACACACATATCATGCTCCCTTATTCTCCACACAGTTATACCTAGACAATAAACTGTTCAGAGGCCAACTTAAAAGGATGCATGGCTGCACTAGCCTCATAATGGTTCTGGGACCAGCAGTCACACAGGCAGAAATAGATGTTTGGAGGTATTTGGGTTTGTTCATATCTACAGATTTGCTATCGGGAAATGAAGTGTGTTTGGGATGACTGAGACCGAAACGAGGAGACTTAAAGTACCATAAAGCTGTGGGCCTGACATGGAACATTACTTAAGTCAATGCAGTTTGACAAGACCTAGTTTGACACAATTATAAAGCCTGTGTTGCTCAACTGGCCTGATCCAAACAACTCTGGTCTGATCCTTTCTTCAAACGTGTGTGGCTTGTTGGATGCGAGATCAGAATGCAAAGGCAGCAACCCAGCTTCTACACACACCCTGCTCCTGGGGACTCTGAAGTAAGCCAGTATCTGAAACATACCCTCCAGGAGCAGGAGAGCACTGAAGGCTAAAAGTCTAGCATGCCCGGAGGCAGAGAACAAAGAGAAGGGAAAAAAGGGAAAAAACAAGAGCAGAATGAGCAAGGGACATGCTTAGTTACAAATTCTCACAAGTGGTTCAAACTAACTGAGTAAACAAGGTAGAATGAAAAATTAATTAGTGGAAGCAATGCACCTACAGAAATGCCCACAGTACACTCAAACATCCAGCCTCAGAGAGCCAGCAGCAGCACCGCAGGGAGGCGCCATCCTGAGGGATGCCACAGGAGGGGCTCTGCTAGCCCCTTTGCCAATCTGCTCTCCCCACTTCCCTCACCCTCTCCCATCCATACACCCTGGCTGTGGCCAGGCTGCCTTTGTCACTCCACCAGTCTAAGGGCTGTGGAAGTATCATATGAGAGAACATGCATCAAACCTCAGCATCAGGACGCAGAGTCACCTTTTATTTCTTTTCTCCTTGACCTTATCTCTGAGCTTTTGCCAACACTAAGACCCATTCCTCTCTTTCCACTCTGAGATCTGAATATTGCTTCCAGGGCTCCAAGCACAACTTTCTCCTCCAGCTGTTCCAGCTAAAGAGGCTGGGTACCAAACTCCTTCCAAAATTGTCAGGGTTACTGCTAGACCATAGGTAGGTATTATAATACAGATGGGATACATGGTTTGTGACAAAATTACAGCCTGCCATTTCTCTCCAAGACTGAAAACTCAGAGAACGTAAGGGACACACATCTTACTTATGTTCTCTGTAACAAGTCTTCAATGTTATCTATGCTTGGCACCCAATGGGCATTCGGAATACTAACTGTAATGAAAAAAAAAAGGAAAAGAAAAAGACTGTAGGATCCATGTAATCATTTCAATTCAACCACTCTTAGAAAAGACATTTTCAAAGTCCCTGGTTGTTAAATGCCAAAACCTTAAGATAAGAATGCTGATCCACTTAAGCATGAAATTACAAATGAAAAATTCTCACAGGAGAAAATAACCTTAATATTCACAAAACTCATTGTGAATAATGACAAAATTAATTCATACTTGTGTAGTAAGAAAATATTGTAGCAATAACCATCTTTTACCATCCAAACTGGAATTTTTCTTCCCCCACAGAAGCTCTTCTGGCCACACACACTTCCTACTCACTAATGTGGGAAACATGGTTCCCAAGCATCTCAAATGATATCCGTTACAGTAAATAAGATTCAGTCTTTGTCTCTTAGGGTCTTGATGTACCTGAGGAATCCTTGACACGGTTTTCTTTTTTTTCTTTTCTTTTTTTTTTTTGAGTTGGAGTCTCACTCTGTTGCCCAGACTGGAGTGCAGTGGCCGCCCTCAGCAACTGCAGCCTCGACCTACTGGGCTCCGGTGATCCTCCTGCCTCAGCCTTCCAAGTAGCTGGAACTACAGGCACGCACTACCACGCCCGGCTAATTTTTTTGATTTATTGTAGAGATGAGGTCTCGCCAAGTTGCCCAGGCAGGTCTCGAACCCACGGGCTCAGGCAATCCACTCACCTCAGCCTCCCAAAGTGCTGGGATTACAGGCTGAGCCACCAAGCCCGGCTGACACGGTTTTCAATAAAAAGAACAAGTTAATCTGCCTTTTATGATGGCAGCTAATAAAGGAAATAACATCAAGTGCCCACTACACTCCAGGCATCGTGCTGGGCAACATTCATAGCTTATTCTATTCTCCCAACACTGGGAGATGGGTACTACTATCATCCTCATTTTATAATAGGGAAACTGAATCTCAGGAGAAGCTAAGTCATACATCTAGTAAGTAGCAAAGCTGATAACTGAATTCAGGCCTACTGGCTCCAAATCTGTGTTGAGGGCTTTGCTTTTGCTTGGTTAGTTTTTCTTGAACCTTCAGTCTGGTTACCCACATTGTACAGAGAGAGGCAAGGTGGCGGGCATTATGCATAGAGGGCTCTGCGGGCTTGCCCAAGGTCCAGAGGCTGTAACAGCAGGGCAGGCTAAGAAGTCAGCACTCACCTTCCTGGCCATGTTTGCAAAGTGGGCTCCACAGGCCTTGCAGCTTGGTTCTGAGCCTGTTGGGGAAGGGAAGGAACTATACCCAGGGTTGGAATAGGCCTGTGTCCTGGCTCCCTGGGGTGGTGGAACATCTTCAGGCTGTCCATCCAAGCAGAACCAGTTGCAGCAGGTTGCCCACATGATAAAATCTGGTGCAAGGGAGGAAGGGGGAAAATGTCAGAGTTAAGACACATCTCTACTGTCCTTTCCATCCAAAGAGCACAAGTGAAAAGTGATACGCAATTCACATTTGCTACCAGTAGGGGGTTGGGGAGGGCGATGATGGGACAGGCAAGTTTTCTTGCTGTCTCCTCTACCACCACAGTTGCTTTTCTACCTAAGAGGGGAGTGCAGAGGCCTAATCTGCCAGGACAAGATGGGTTGCCAAGGTGGCACTCCACCTTTGAAGCTGCTGATCCCTGATTGGGTTTAATCTGAGATCTAATTTCAAATAAAATCTTTTCTTAACTTAGCAATTACAAACTGGCTTAATACCCACTTTATGCAGGAACATGACCTTGTCCTAGCGCTCAGACAGATGGAACTTTTTAACACACACAAAGACACACACACAATTCCACACTCACAATGTCTAAGAAAAAGATATGTGATGAGTTTCATTGTATAGATAAGGAACTCGGGCTCAAAGAAATCAAATATATAGCTATTGTGGAAAGAGCTAACATACAGAGTTGAGATTCTAAAAACACAGGTCTTCTGACTCCAAGCCTAATGTCCTTTTCCCCATTCCACATTGCCCCTTGATTTCCCCTCCTACCTGCCAGCAGAGTCAACTACTCTTACATTTGTGCCTCCAATCCCAGGTAAACCTCTGTCACAGCACCTAATACAGATGCCCGCACAGATAGTTCTGCCCTTTATGGTCTACTATTTCTCTACAGCAGAGACTTCTTATTCATGTCTGTACTATACCCCACCACTGTCGTACACGTAGCAGATGCTCTACAAGTATTTGCTTCCTTGCCAAGTCAGTACCTCTGCAGGTTTACTAAGAAGTGTTGGGTTATTATTCCCATTTTGCATATCAGATGCAGGGATTGAGGACCAGGGAGCTGATGATTTTTATGATCACAGAACAGAGTGAATCCCATCCCTCAAATGTCAGAATAACCTAAAGATTGTAAGAGGTCCACTCAAATGCCAAGTGCTACTGTGAGACATGAGTATGTTTTTCTCAGTAGACTAAGGCAGTCAATGAGGACATTTTGAGCCTGAATTCTTTGCTTACAGAGATAATAAATCAAACATTTAGTGTTATTATAAGATAATCAGGTCACACAAAAGACTGCTCCGCTCTATCTCCTGACTCATTGTTCTAACAAAGGCATTTTCACAGTACAAAAAGGTGTGATAAGCTGTAAGAAACTAAAAGGCCAACTGATTCAGCCTGGGTCATTTTATAGAGAAAAAGAATGAGGCTCAACCAAGGGAAGTCACTTCTGGGTTCATACAGCTTATAATCCTAGGCTTCTTGACTTCCCTAGGTCCTTTTAGCTTCCCAACACTGCCTCCAATACTACCTGCAATACAATTCGGTCTCTTCTGCAAGGGTCTTTGACTAACATCCATTTCTACCACTTGCCTGCAACTCCCACAAGAGCAGGGAACACAACAGTCTTAGAGTACCCAGTTACACAGGTGGCTCCACAAAGACCACTGAATGAATCACACACAATATTTAAATCTTAACTAAGCACACATTCAATTTCTGGCACATCAAAAACATTTCTCTGTGACTCAATATTACTTGCACGAAGACTCAAGTTCCCAGAAGAGAAGGACCTGATCTGCCTCACTTACAAATGATAGTTCACATGGACTAATGAAGAGCTATTCACACAGTGTGGTCTATGACAAAGTAAATGAGCTCTTTGTTGGCGAGAGAAAGTGGACCACAGAGGAAAAGTAACCCTCTGAAACAGGAATTCTGTTATTTTTTAAATCAAATGTTGGCAGAGGCATCTGAGACGGTGCATAATAATAAAAAGAACAGAGGATCTAGAATCAGCAGGCCTAGGGCCTAAGTCCTGCTCTACTACTGCAGCACTATGTTATCTACCTCTAACAAGTCACGCCCTATCTGAACTTCATTCTTCTCATCTGGACATTCTGTATGCTATAAAGCACTAACTTAAATATTAGTTGTTGTTATCAGCATTATAACAATGCCTTTAACTATAATGTCTCTGGAAAGGCAAAGGTACAAAGTAGACCTAGAGATTTCGCCACAACTACCATCTGGCCCTGGATTTGTCCCCTGCAAAGGGGACAAGGCTGTAGGCAATCCATTCATTTCTGTTAAAATCTCTACTTGTTCATGCATGCACACAACCTTTATTGAAACCAATGCCCTGCCATTTCCAGTGCTAGGTGAGGAAGGTAAAGTACCTACCCTCAAGAGTTCGTGGTCTAGTAGGAGAATCAGGCACATAAAGCCCCAAACTGAAATTTCAGTCAGTGCTTTAACAGATGTTTGAACAGTGTATTGGGTGGGGCAGTGTCTAGCTAAAGGTCATGGCTAGAGGACAGGAAAACCAACCTCTTGGGTAGGTCTACAAAAAGGGAAATGATTAGCTTTATAGGGGCAGAGGGATGACCAGAAAATACGTCTAAAATGGGGTGCAACACATCCAGTCTCACTGTGGGAATAAGTGGGAATTTACCAGAAAGTCCAGAACAGAAATAATTTTCTTTTTTTCTTTTCTTTTTTTCTTTTCTTTTTTTTTTGAGTTGGAGTCTCACTCTGTCACCCAGACTGGA